CCTCGAGAAGGAGGAGGGTTTCCTGATCTTCCACTTCCCGCCACTAACCAGGGGCGTCAGCAGGTTCCATGAGAATAAAATCCGAAGAAGACATGCCAGAGCCAAACTTCCCGTCATTAAAGCAATCATACATAAGTCAAAATCGGCCTGCCAAATACAAACACAATTACATCATAAATAAATGGAACATGTCAATAAATAAATAAACCAAATTACTAAATTCCCGCCACTAACCAGGGGCGTCAGCAGGTTCCATGAGAATAAAATCCGAAGAAGACATGCCAGAGCCAAACTTCCCGTCATTAAAGCAATCATACATAAGTCAAAATCGGCCTGCCAAATACAAACACAATTACATCATAAATAAATGGAACATGTCAATAAATAAATAAACCAAATTACTAAATTAGGGGGCGTCAGCAGGTTCCATGAGAATAAAATCCGAAGAAGACATGCCAGAGCCAAACTTCCCGTCATTAAAGCAATCAGTACATAAGTCAAAATCGGCCTGCCAATACAAACACAATTACATCATAAATAAATGGAACATGTCAATAAATAAATAAACCAAATTACTAAATTAGTTACACTTTCCATTTTGATCATTCACATTATAAAAACTTCAAAGACCAATGGTTATTGTAGCAAGTAAACAGATTGCGCCGGTATCAGAGGCAATATAGCTACAAAATTGGCAATGGGAGGAACATTCGGTTTTGACAAGACAATTGGGCAATGGATCATCCTTTGATGGTATTGTTCCCTAGATTATTCTCTATTGCAGTGAACAAAACAGGAAGATTATTTCAGTTTGGGGAGTTCAGTTCAGGGGGCTGGTTTTGGAACGTTCAGCTGAGAAGGGAGTTGAATGACTGGGAATTTGAGCAATGGCAAATTTGATGGCTGTTATCTCTGATTTTCTATTTCTGCTGATGGACTGTTTTGACTGGAGAAGGGGTTTTCATTGTGAAATCATGTGTCAATCTATATTATTCGGGCTCTCCCGATTCGGAGGAAGCTAAATTTTGGAAGTCTATTGTTTGGAGGGGTCTGTTGCCTCCAAGAGTAGAGACTTTTTCTTTGGCAAGTTATCTTAAAGAAGTTGGCAGTGAAGGCAGCTCTGGTTAAGAGAGGTGTTCAGGGCATAAATGATACTTTGTGTTCTCTTTGTAATCTAGAAGAAGAGTCTTCATCGCATTTATTTTTTTCCTGTTCGGTTGTTTGGCCAATTTGGATGAAATTCTTGGGCTATTGGAATTTTCAGTCTGTTTTTCATGCAGATGCTAAAAGATTCCTATTGGCTTGGAATGACTTGAAGACAAACTCTCTTATCTGGTCATTTATCCCTGGAGCTGTTTTATGGAAAATTTGGAAGACCAGGAATTTTATAGTGTTTGAAGGAGGGAAGCTTGATCGAGCAGAAATTTTCTTTCTAGCAAGGTGCAGGCTTGCTTCATGGTTTCTAGCTAAGGAAACTCAGATTACTATTTCCAAGGATGATCTTATTGCTGACCCTTCCTTAGTGGATTCCTACTCGTCCCATTCTAATCGGATTTCAACCATGTTTCCTTGGTCCCCTCCTCCAAAGGGTTTTATTAAACTTAATGTGGATGCGGCTACTTCGAGTGATTGGAATAGGAGTGGTTTTGGTGGTATTTTGAAAGACATGCCTGGTTCGATTCTTGGCTCCTTCAAAGAGCCTGCTGGTCCGGGGCCCCCAACTTTAATGGAATTGAAGGCTATCCTAAAGTGTCTAGATTTTTATGAATCTATTCGCCATAGGTTTAAAGATAGATTGATTATTGAGAGTGATAGTAAGGTGGCAATTGGCTGGGTTAAGGATGTGGTTTCTTGTCTTGTCGTTTATGTTCAAATTGTTAAAGATATTATTCAAAAGCTTAGTGTTTATGAAGGTTTTATTAGTTGGGTTAGTAGGACAGCCAATATAGAGGCGGATGTCCTAGCTAAGGCTGGTATTGGTTGAATTATTCTGTTAAGGGCTGTTTCTTTCTGGTTTGTATCTCTTGAGGGAGATTAGTTTGTATTACTTTGTTATATTTGAGGTTAATGAAATCCTAGGGCACTCTTTTCCTCCTTTTGCGGATTAAGGAACTATTTTTAAGTTCCGTTAATCACGAAGGGGGTTTTATTGAGGCCTACTATTCCTATAAAAAAAAAAAGATTGCGCCGGTGGTGCAAACAATTTATGATCATTTCTCATTTGTTGGGCAAGCAGTACCTAAAAAGGTTTGTGGAAATCCAATTTTATTTACCATTTGGCTTGAGCTGAAGACGTCATATAAATTGATTTTGTAGAAGTAGAGTCCCTCCTACTCTCTCAGAAATAAAGGGCTTGTGAAAAATGAAAAGAAAATGTACATACATATGCAGGCACGATTGAAACATTGACTACCACCATAAGAACACCCAGGAATAATTAGTCCAGATATTTTCTCTTTGTAGTGTATTAAATAATTGAGGCTTAAACAATTATTATCAGTCAGTTCAGTAACTAACCTGCTTCTGCCAATGGTAGCGTTTCGAGAGCAATCAGCTGAACAAGAGTTGCAATGGTACTCAACTGATGGTTCCTCAGGTGTCATCAAGTCCTCAGCAAGTGCAGATTCTGGAAGAAAACCAGATGGTACAGATGAAGTTGAAAGGTTAGTGAAACAATTTTTCAAGCAAAAAATCCTTTTGGCCATTACGTCCCATCGGCATTGCGCACAGCTGAACCAGTTGGGGAAATGGATGAAAGTTAATCAAACCCCAGTAGTCCAGGAACTCCAATACTTCCTGCCTTGCATCCAAGTCACCAACTTCAAGATCTTCCAGATCTTTCAACTCAATCTCCCTAGGGTTTGCATGAAATTTCTTCATAATCCAATTACGAATCTCCATGTACACCAGGGGTACGATTTGGGGATTTCCCATTAAAGAAAGAAGGCAGGATACTCTCCTCCAGATGGTGAATTTTGGTCCATGAAACCATCCTGGGAGTACAAAGATAGAATGAATACAAAAACTGACAACAGAATGAAATACTTATCTTGCACTCTGCTAATGACAACTAAGATCAAAATTCTCTTTGCAATTTGTGTATCCATGCAATATGCTGTAATTTGCTATGTCATAATCGTGCTTAAGTGGATTCTGAAAATCATCTATTCGTGTAGCATTCGTGTTATTTTTCTTTTTGTTGTTGTCATATTTTACTTATTTTTTCGTGAAGTGTCTGATAATGCAATGTCTAATTCTCTAGCATGGCTGATAAGAAGTAAGCAGAACAAACTGGATGAATAACATATTATCATTTCCTTGTGAATAAACACAATAGGGACTTTACCTTATCATTCTTATAGCATATAGAAACAAATAAAGAAACAAAACTCCCAAATTAACTATTCAAGAAAACAATTCAATTCTCATTTCATGTTTTCCAGAAGTAACACAAAAACATCTAGCCAAACTGAATTGGGCTCCTAAATCATCAGGGGGAAAAATCCACATAATTTGTCCAATTCACTAGCTCCCACTAATGAAGTTACCTCACTAAAGTTGCAAGAGATAAAGCTCACTTTTCTTCCCATTTCTGCCCATTTTCTCATCAACCAAACAAGAAAGAAGGGGGAATAGAAACACTCACCGCAATGATTAGGAACAACATGCACATTACTGTCGCGAGATCTAATAGCCTCAAAATCAGCCTCAATATTTGCTTCCAAAGCTTCCCACTCTTCACTTGGCTTATTCAATTCCTCCAAATCTTCCGCCTTCACACTTTGTTTCACCGGACTCGCCTCCAGCTTCGCGCCATCCGATCCCGAGCTCGAACCCAAGGCAAAGTTTCCACCAGGCGCCACTTGGCGAGCCCTGGTTAAAGGACCGAAATGGTTGACCGGAGGGTGGGAGATCAAGTTTGACTTCTCTCGAGTAACCCGTTTCGACGGCGTAGATAAAGAGCTCGACCCGGAAAGCCAATTTCCTTTTCTCTTCAAAGCTCCACCTCGACGGCGCGTTGATGTCGAATCCGGCTCCACCGAGGTCGGCCCCGACGGTGAGTTACCGGCGTCCCGGCGTTTCTCCTCCATCACGGGTACCGGGTTTGGTTTTAATGGGAAAAAAGGGGGTTTTCAGTCGGTTCAGTGTGAAATTTGGTTGATTTGAGCCGAAAACAAAGTAACGTGCGAATTATTGTAGTTATAAAATGGGCCGCATTTTGAATGACTCAGCTGTTGAATCGCTACTACCGGTCCATAATGGCATTATTGTTATTTTTTTATGTTGCGGATCCATATATTTATCTCGATATGTTATAATCATACTAAAATATTGGGTAAACTACCCGAATGATCACTTTTATTTCACTTTTGTTCTTTTTTATCACCGATTTTAGAAAAATCACATATTAATCATTTACATTATTGGTTTAATAATTCGGTTATATTGTGAATAAAATAAATTTAATTGGAATGATTACTCTTATAATAAGCCTATACAAAATAAAAAAAATTAATCAATAAATAAATTAAGTATTTATAGTTAAAAAATAACCTATTGCCCGTCGACCGATAAAAGTTTTTAGATAGATTGACCACAAGTGTAGACAAATATAAACATATAGTATTCTAATTATATAATTTTTTATTTTAGTGTTTAAAGTTTTTTTAAATAGAAATAGTTGTTATTTTGTTATCATTTTAAGATCAAATAGTCCAAGTATGTTAAAAATCAATCACCTAATGATTATTCAACGGAGGTCCAGACAGTGTAGTTTTTTGATTCCGTTCAAACTATACATATTTGCTGACAGTGATGAACTGATGAAATCAACGGAAACACGAAAACTAAGTGAATGATGGAGCATGCTGATTTTATTCTAACACACAGTAAACGGAGATATTTATTGGAAGATTTGGCTTTATGCCAACGGTTTTGTTTCACTACTATCATTTCTGATAAAAGGTGGCTGTTGTCTCTGGTTCAACATTACTAGTCCATTATTTCTTCACTGCTTTAAGATCAGCATCATCGCCTCCATAGACCGTTAGGCTCGGCCTCGATTCAAAATCATTGGTGAATGACTTCTTCTCTCGTTTAAGACCAGCATCGTCGCCAGCATAAAACATTACGCTTGGCCTCGATTCAAAATCACTACCCACATAAGCCTTTACACTCGGCCTTGGTTCAAAATCACTGGTGAATGATGTCTTCTCTCCTTTAAGACCAACATCATCGTCGCCATAGACTGTTACGCTTGGCCTCGGTTCAAAATCACTACTGACATAAGCTGTTATGCTTGGCCTTAGCTCAAAAGTACCACTAGTGAATGGTTTCTTATTTCCTTTAAGACCAACATCATCGCTTCCATAGGCCCTTACGCTTGGCCTTGGCTCAAAATATTTGGTGAATGGCTTCTTCTCTCATTTAAGACCAACATCATTGCCACCATAAGTTGTTACCCTTGGTCTCGGTTCAAAATCACTACTGACATAAGTTGTTATGTTTGGTCTTAGTTGAAAATCACTAGTGAATGATTTCTTCACTCTTTTTGTCCTTTAAGACCAGAATCATAGCCTCCATAGGCGGTTACGCTTAGCCAGTGTTCAAAATCATTGGTGAATGGCTTTTTTTTCGTGTAAGACCAGCATCATTGCCACCATAAGCCGTTACGCTTGGTCTTGGTTCAAAATCATTAGTGAAAGATTTTTTCTCTTGTTGAAGACCGCCATCATTGCCTCCATAGGACATTACGCTTGGCCTCAGTTCAAAATCACCGGTGAATGTTTTCTTCTTTCCTTTAAGACCAGCAACATCCCCGCCATAGCCTGTTGCACTAGGCCTCGGTTAAAAATCTTCAGAAAAAGATGATGATTTCTCATTGTCGGCGTAAGCAGTAACACTAGGCCTTGGTTCGAAATCATCATAAAATGTGGACTTCTTTTCATCTCCTTCAGGCCTACATGGTCGTTCAAAATCCTCAACAACAATCTCCTCTTTCTTCTCAACGCTTGCAGGTGTACGATACTCAGTTTTCTCATCGGAGCCGGCGGAACCAGCCTCGATCCTAACAAGCCCTTCAAGTGCTTCAGGAATAGGCTGATCTTTCATTACAGCTCTCCAGTACTCCCCAACATCTTTTCGAGCAGCTGAAAGGGTGTCTGCAAACTGCATCCATATAAAAACATATATAATTAACCATACAAATTAACAATATATATATATATATGAAAATGCCAAGGAAATTGTATATTCATAACAGTGCAAGAGCTTACCAGGAGAAGTGAGATTAATGCAAAGAAGGGAAGAAAGGTTTCATGTTTTATTAATGCAATAAACTTGTACAACTCTTGTAGTGTCGATAAGCATATAATCCTTTCTATATATAGAAAGGAAATAGCCTACGTTGTTTGTCATTTTGATGAAGACACGTGCAAGAATATTGATGTTTGGTCTAAAAGATATTTTTTAAATAAAAAGATGGATAAACAGCCCGTTTGATTATAATATCTTGTTTCCTACTAGTTATTTTTTTGGTGGATTCAATCCTGAAAACAATTTTACTTCCTTTAGAAAATAATGATAATTATTAATTTTAATTTATTGATAAATTAATTTAAATAGAGTATCGTAAAATCTAGTGACCCTCCCGGTTTAATTCTCTGGTATTGTAAAGGTCCGACGACCATCCCAATATTGGTTGCCCCTTGTTCCCATATGTAATGAGATAAGGGGAGGTAAGATAGTAGGCTGCCCGCAACACCAGGTTGAGAGCAGCTTCCGTAGAAGACCTCCGAATTATGAAATGCCCTCCGTGGGACTCGATCCCACGACCTCAAGTTCAAAACTTTGTGCTTTACCAACTGAGCTGGATGGTCATCTCAGACCCTCCCAATATTATTTTCTTTAAATAGTGATTAAATGACCAATATTACTTTATTTAAATGAAACTTACATTTTCTGTGAAAAAAAAAGAAACTTGAAATTGACACCTAAAATGCCAAGGAAATTAACAACTCTTATGGTGTCGATAAGCAATAATCCTTCCTGTAGATATCAATTTTTTCATTTAAGCTTATTATTATTATTAAAATTAAAATTATTATTATTATTATTATTATTATTATTATATATTATTTATTAAAAATTACAAAGCCCATTTACAACCCGGTTACATCCAGGCCCAAACATGACCCAAAACCCTTCTAGGGTTTTCAGAATCTTCTCTCAGCCGCCTTAGCTCATCACCGTTGGATCTGGCCTTGATCCAACGGTCTCCAGATGCTTCCAGCTTAAAACCCTAGGGTATTATAACCCTAGGGACCACGCGGCGCCACCTCTTCCAGGTGTCTCATCCCGCCGCTGCCGACACTCCAGAACGTCACGAAGCTACCCACGTTGAGCCCTATGGTGAGTCACCACCATAGCTATGGTGACTCACCGGGCCTTTCATCTCTGGAACCGGTCCAACGAGAGCCTCGGTGGTGGCTATAAAAGCCACCCCACCTGCAAGAAAGAAAAGAGCCACAGAGAGCAACGGAGAACAACAGAAAAACAGACGAAGAGAGAACAAAAAAGAGAGAGATACGAACAGCAACCAACAACCAGACCAAAACAGAAACCAAGAAAGAAAGGAAATGTAACACCCCCAACCCATACCCGACCCGGATATGAGTCAGAGATACTACATTGACTTTAAAACACAACTCTTAATAAATAATAGTAAAATATTTGAACTGGTATAAAAAAAAATACAATAATATACATACTGTAATATAAGTTTACCAAAATATTCAGAGCATACACAACTTAACCCTTTAATTACATGCCAACTGCTATTACATAACAAAATGACCTACTGATTAAGTTGCTTCTGATCTGATGGTTACAGGAGTAATACTATCAAGCTGCTTCACCTGTATCGTCTAAATTCCTCGGATCCTACGTGTGAAACACTCACACGCTAAGTCATCGACTTAGTGAGGCATTAATAATAACAAGGCAATGTAATGTAATGAAAATGTCAAGATCATATGAGATGAGATGCAAACATGTACTTAATCAATGTAGTATACTTCATCAATATCCATACCTGTAAGCGTAGGACTGTAACATTCATTATTCTGTATTAATAAGTTTATTGGCCCATGATAGCATATTGAGAACCTAAGGTATTTGATGTGAGGTTGTGCACTATGCTGTCACCACAGCTCGTATAAATGCACCAAAGTGCCCCGTAGAATTGCACCGAAGTGCCCGTAGAATTGCACCGAAGTGCCCGTAGAATTATGTCCATAAGGACCACGTAGAATTCCTTAAGAATCATATACATATACTATGGATCAAGTATGTGTCTTTCAAGACTTCACACAGGTTCCAAAGGATATACATATGTCCTAAAGAACCGAGTATACCCTCTACCCTTGGCATGCCAACTATACCTATAGTTCTCATCTACATAACATGGGCTTATACATTTCCCGTAGTTCATATCGCGTAGTCATATTATTTCCATACCTTTATCACATAGACATATCATTTACATACCTTTATCACATAGCTCATATAACTTTTTCTACATATTCATGTCATGCAATACACATAATATAAATTCATGTCATGTATCATAATATGGAATGTGATCATATGTCAAAATATGGAATCTAGACTTATCACAAGTCTAGAACTGAATATAATATATTCATGCTATGCATATGCACTCACCTATACTTCTTTGCCTTTCCTCGATCGATCCTACTTGTAGATTGTTCCCGAACTCGAGTAGGCTCGGTATCTACATAAACATAATTTTTAAGATGATCATCAGACGTCTATGTCTTGAAATTAAGCTTTAATAGCTTACTAATTTAAAGAATTTATAGCTTAGTCTTGTTTTCTTTTCTTTCTTCTTCTTTTTCTCATGGGGGAATCGGTTCCCCCCCTGGGGGTATCGATTCCCCTCAAGCAATCTGGAATTTCATATACGATGAGGGGGTATCGGTTCCCCCCTGGGGGTACCGATTCCCCTCTAGCATTCTGGAAATTCATTTCGTTGAGGGGGTATCGGTTCCCCTCGAATGAGTACCGATTCCCCTAACCCAGAAATCCTAATTTGAGCTCGGAAATCATCCCATTTCAGCTCAAACTTACATATTTCAATCCCTTTACTACTCTTAGCTCTCATACACTTACTTAAACTGATTATTATCCATTAAATACCTCTAAAACCTAGAAATCTAATTCTCCATGTAGAATTTAAGAATCCAACCCAAATTCCAATATGTTCTAATTTGAATTCTAACACCTCATACTTCTTAGTTAGCTTCTTGACAAGTCAAAAATCTTATTTAAACATCAAAAACTCATCCATATCAAAATTTCATCTAAAAACTCATTTTCCAAATCATTCTCTAAATCACTTATCTTGTTGTTTTAATGTCATATAAGCTTTCCTTTAGCTTATATAACATCCAAGCTTTCATTTCCAATCTTAAAAATCAAAGAAACTACCAAGGTTCAGATTCTTACCTTTACTTGCAAGCTCCACGTTGAGAGAAGGAAGAGAAGAAAATAAGGAAGAAGGGAGAAGAAATGGGAGGGTTCTGGAACCTAATGTCACACGTGGGTCTCATATAACCCCATAACATTTATTTTTAATTAAAAATTACTTACAAATGACCATTTGGTCCTTACTTCCATCTCATATTTACTAACCATACTTTTTAAACTATATAATTATTCTACTTTAATCACCAAATGTTGAAACTTTGCAAATTAATCACTCACCCGACATGGAGGATGTTACAAATCTCTCCCCCTTAAGAAAATTCGTCCTCGAATTTTCATTGCACAAACAAATGTGGGTATTGATGTCGCATATTCTTCACGCTCCCATGTTGCTTCTTCTACTTTGTGATTTCTCCACAACACTTTGACCAAAGGAATGGTCTTGTTCCTCAATTGCTTAACTTCATGTGCTAAAATTTGAATCGGTTCTTCCTCATAAGTCAAGTCAGGACGAACCTCAATCTCTTCTGGTGTCACGATATGAGAAGGGTCAGTCTATATCTTCGAAGCATTGAAACGTGAAAGACATCATGTATCTTTTCCATCTCAGGTGGTAAAGCTAGCTGATATGCTACCGGTCCTACTCTCTTTACAATCTCATATGGTCCAATAAACCGAGGACTCATTTTCCTTTTCGACCAAATCTCAACACTTTCTTCCATGGAGACACTTTTAAAAACACTTTATCTCCAACTTGAAATTCAATTTCTTTCCTTTTAAGATCAGAATAGGACTTTTGCCGATCAGAGGCCACTTTGAGGTTATGTTGAATTTCTCGAACTTTCTGTTCTACCTCCTGAATTAAATCCGGACCAAGAACACTTCGGTCTTTGAGTTCATACCAATTTAATGGAGTACGACATTTTCTTCCATATAATGCTTCTATGGGGCCATCTTTATACTAGACTGATAACTATTGTTGTAAGCGAACTCTGCCAGCGGTAAATACTTTTCCCATGATCCTTTAAATTCCATTACGCATGCTCTCAACATATCTTCCAATATCTGAATAGTTC